ACACACACACACACACACACACATAGTTTATAGTACACACATACATAGTATGTAGTAGGCACACAAATACATAAAAGTTAAAAATAAAACATTAAATGAATATGCAAAAAACTTGGCATATAGCACCTCCAACTGGGCATTTATTGAAATGACTGTATTTTGACCGTTTTTAGGTCTGTCTTCTCAATGGGATAGAATTATAAATATTTATACATATGCAGACGCGTGTATAGACGTATACTATTAACCTGTTGTGTAATATTAGAGAGAACATGGTACAGTATTCAATTATGCAATAGCTCATTCAGTTCAATTCACATTTATTTGTATAAGGTGTATAAAAAGGTGTATAAAAAGTGCATTGTCTGTTCTTTGAAACAATAGGTTTAACAAAACTTGAATTGTATTTACAGGCGTGGGTGTCAGAAAAAGCTACTGAAATCTAATACAAATTGTAGTATTTGCAGATAAAACATATGCATTAACTTTTACAACTTTAATTAATAAAACAATTATTTTGTATCTAAAATCCTTGCTGAGGCAGGCACTGTCTATTCATAGGTGGGTCATGTGAAGTCTTCATAAAGGACTATTTCTGGAAAAAAAACAAAAACATATTGTACTCAAACGATGGCACTGTCAATAATTAATCAATGATGCAATTAGATTTCATGCTTGCAGCCCGTTTTCTATCTTATATCAGTTTCATTTAGCATTTTTCATTTTTCAAAAAGGAACATAAATAAACACGGTCCCTAAGATGAGCGCGAATAAGAAGCTGAAAAACGGAAGCGTCGCGGTTTTTAAGGTGGACCGCATAGCGTCAATAAGAAGCTGCGAATAAGAAGCTGGATTCAGCCTCGTCACAGCATACTCGTGTAAAACTAATTGATTGGTGTTAACTAAGCTGAAAGTAATCAGAAGCAAATAGCGTACTTCACTGACAATTCAGGCCAGTTCTCTCGCTCTGCTATAAACAAACGCGCTGATCTCCAAAAAACGAGGTCTAAATACCATACAATTTGATCACTTACTCATTTTGTAACTCACCAGACAGTTTGTGGAGTTTGATGAGAGTTTGTTTACCGTCCGAGTGTCTCGCGCTGCTTCCCCGCTTCAAATCGCGCCATGACGAAAGCGGAAACACGTCATCAAGCCGCTACGACGACACAGCTAACAAATATAAACAAAACCAAATAAAACACAGCTACAAAATGCAACATTTAAAAAGAATAAATACAATACAACGCATACAAAACAAAATACAACTGAACATACGACGTGTGTAAAAATGACTGCAATATAACGTTAACTTAAAACATTCGCTCAAAACACTGATACAAATAATTGCCTCATTAACTGCACATATTAATTCACATACATTCATTTTCTTTTCGGCTAAGTCCCTTTATTAATTGGGGTCGCCACGGCGGA